CCTTATCGCCGAGCCTCACATATAAAAAAAAACTCTACATAAAAAAAAATCTACAAAAAAAAAAAAAAAAAAAAAAAAAATGTTGTTATCTTTAAGATGTCTTTAAATGTTGTTATCTTTAAGAGCCAAAACTTTCATTGGAATACTTTTACATAAACCCGCTTTAGGATTTATTTAGAATTTCTTAATACCATAATTACACAACCAGTTTTCGATTTTAAACATCGAGAAGACACAGCACAAAAAGTTAAGATGTTTTAAATTTCAACAGGAAAAATATTTTTTTTATTATGGTTAATAATGCTTTAATAAAATTAGCACTTAAACAAGTTTTGGATATTAAAGCACTTTATTATTGATTGATGATGACTCAGCATTTATGGTTGTTAAAATGTAAGTATGGCCATCTTGTTTAGAATCTGCCAATAAAATTTCCAAATTATGTCATATTCTCCAATAACGCACTGATGTACAATATGTGAGATTTATTTAATGATAATTACCAAGATTTTTTCAATACTAAAGACTTTTGATAAAGTCTGGCATGCTGGTCTTCTGTTTAGTCAATGAGTAGGGTGACGATTGTCCCGGTTTTTATGCTAGAGAACGCAGCGCTAAACTAATTAAAATTAGTTTAACGCTGCGCTCTCCTACTTAAAAACCGGAACAATGGTCACCCTATCCATAAGCTCACTAAACATTTGAGAAAGTATGCATTAACATCTTAGAATGTTTTTGAAATTATTGAATTGTTCCATTTTAGTTGCAGTATTAAAGTGGACAACACACTCATTTATTTCCATTAGTTTTAAAGTCTAAATGGTGGACAAAATGAAAAAAACAATGTGTCTGTTATGAAATTATTTCATGATAATTCAAAAGCTGAATGAAATACTAATAAAATGCTAAAGACTAGTGGTTGTTATTATGGCTGGTTAAGAAATGATGACCTCTTAAAGCTTTAAAAAACTTGTAAAAAAAACATTTATTAAGCATAGTTAAATTTTTCACAGAAACATTTTCTAGTTGCAAATATATGCACCAAATTTATAGTTAAAATTGAAAACAAAAATTTATTTACTTAAAAACTGAGTATAAAAAGTAAAAATAATAACTTCAACATTATTTCTTCTAAAAGAAGAATGTTACTCTCCTAATATGTAAATATATATAAAAACATAGAGATATGTCCATTTTTTTGTCGTTAATTTTCTGATTAGATGGCAAAGCACAAATAATAGCAGAGAATAAGAGACCACACTGTTAAGCTAATGTTCTGTCACGTAGATTTGAGATGTAATCAGTAATCAGATTTCTGTTTTTCATACTGTATAGAAGACTTTTAGCTACATTTCCAATGTAGTTACCTACCTGCTTAACCTTATGAATTTGGAAAATCCTGTTTGATTCCAGCTTATTATTTATTTAATTCCTGTATTTTCTTCTTTCCTACTTCAAAAAAATAAACGCATGTACTCCTGCAGTGATGTGAACAACACTTTCATGAAGTGGTTAAATCCAGGGAGAAATATATGAATTATTTTTACTGACCTTATATTAGATCCAGCTATTATAATTGTTGTTTGCCAATAGCATAAATCATAATAATTTGACTTACTAGTTAAAATCTTAATTTTAAAAAGACTATTGTTCCCATTTTAAGTTAATTTCATCGTCATCAGGGTTGAAAAGTCAGAGGGAAAAACATTACCACAGTTTTTTTTGGCGTTTATAATAGTGAAGCTATTAGACATTTTATATCTACCACTGATATTACAGATAAAAATTCAATTTAGAACTGATAAAGCTCAGGTAGAGGTAGAGCTCATGAAAAGAAATTGCTCAAAAAGAACTGATAGAGTTTTTGAAGTCTTTTTCTTCTTCACAGCTTGGGTAAACATTTTGTGTTAGCATTTAGCTTTTTCCTTAACTGTCTTCATACTGATTTACTCAACAGTGAACAATAGCAGATTGCAGCAGCTGTCGCAGATGATGTTTGAGTAATTTTGTCTCAATCATCTTCTAATTTGTAGTTACCATCTTGATTTAACATATCTTCATTTAATGACAACAAAGCCTATATAGGTTAGGTTGAAAAAACATTTATTAAACATTATAATGTTTCATAAATGTTTTTTCAATCTGAATTCTAGAAAGTCATCATAATACATAATTTACTTTGGTATTAATTACTGTTAAATTACCTTGAAGTTTAAGTTACTCCCACTTTTCTCATATATTTTTTGTCACACTTGATGGCACTTTTTTGTCAAATTTGATATGCTTTGCAACAAACTTTGATATTTTTATGTTGATGAACTAAATGTTATTATATATATATATATATATATATATATATATATATATATATATATATATATATATATATATATATATATATATATATATATATATATATATATATATATATATATATATATATATATATATATATATATATATATATATATATATTTTATTAATACTAACTTTTTTATCAATGCCTTAATTATTTTCTAATAAATGTTAACTTATGCAAACTGTTATCAACATTTTTAAAGTTTATTAGTTTTATTTTAATACTAGTATTATAGACATCTTTTTGGTGTTTAACATTATACTGATAAGCTCCGAACAGATCTCCATAATGATTTCATCATCAGCTCCTCTAATGTATATCAGATTAAATTGAATATTATTTTAGAAAGAAACAAAACAAAAACAAAAAAAAGCAAAAAAAAGTAAATAGGATATAAAAGATGAAAAAAATTTATTTATTTAGAAGATCTATCATGAACATGCTGTGCACTCAGATCATGCTAAATTTATTGCCCCTAAGAGTTTTAAACAACAACAGGAAGTACCAGAAAGATTATATTTTAATTTTGTTTAAAAGGTTAGGCTTTATACACATGCTGCAACCAGTTCCGGATTTGCAAATAAGCAAAAGAGGCACTGCCCAAAACCCCCAAATTATTATTTAAAAAGATATTTATAAAACCACAATGAAGGAACAATATATTAGTGGCAAAAAAAAAAAAAAAAAAGAACTATTTGATCTTTAGATCAAAAGAAAAATTTGATCACCAACTTGTCCTTAGATCTTCACATTGCAAATTATAAAAGTTTTTTGAAAAATTATGAAAAATCTTTCAGGTTTTAGCAAGACTTTTCATATCTATCAAAGACAACAATTGAAGAGATAGGGTAGCTTTATATTAGTAACTTTACACTTTTGTTGCTTGCATAATCATATAATTGAGATCTTCATTTAGATAAGTCTAATTCACATTCTTTTGTCAGAACTTGTGGGCTGTTTGGGCTAAAAAATTTCTAGTGTGACTAATTGTATTGAAAAATAAAACCAACCACTTTATTGGTTTGCATCTTCAACATACCGCAGGATTATACTAAGTTGTTATACCTTTTTAAGGATTATACTAAGCTGAGATCTGACTTGTTAAGAAGCGTTTTGCTCAGGGTGTAAACTAGCACTGTGGGGTCTCGTCAAACGTGGTATTCCCAAATGATCATAAAATTAAAATTCTCAACTTAAATGTGAAAAAATCCAATTCTCCAGAAATAGTTTGCCAAATTATAGTTTAATAATAATTCTAAAAATTATTGAAAATAATTATAATTTAAAATTAATAGAAAAGTGACATAAAAAATTCTAATTTATTGTGCTAAAACTTGAAATAAAGATGCCGTTATAACTACGCGATTGCATAACTGCAAAAATATCTCTTGGGAAAAACATTATTTTGCAATGTGTTCCATTAACAGCAAATATTAATTAAAAAAATTAACAAGAAATAAAGTACAATCTAAAAAAGCAACAAATTTGATTGGTTTAACACCCGCAAGTGCTATTTCTTTAAAAGTTTCGCCCTTTTTGGCTGAAAAGTTAAATAAATTATTTAAATAAATAGACGTCAAGCAGAATTTTAAATGTTTTGGATGTATTATTTTATATTAAACTTATATCGCAATTTTTATATGATTCTGGCGACATGATCGATATAATCTTCTTCCAGATTCTAACAATAATTAGAAGTAGAAAATAACTGTCTTCCGCGGAGATTTTCATTGCACATAAATCGCTATATTACTTTAAAAGTACCCCTTTAATGCCCACCATTGAAAAAAAGATATATTCAAAAAAATACTCTTAACAACACTCTTAAGCCGAATGGTTCTCGGAAGAACTATTAAAGGTTCTTAGCGGTTATGCCAATGGAGCTTTTAGGTTCTTTAAAGAACCTTATAACGTTCTTTAAAGAACCCTTTTAGGTTCTTTAAAGAACCTTATAAAATGGTTCTTCGCAAGAACCATCCGTAAAGGTTCTTTAAAGAACTACTTTGGGATCTTCGAAGAACTCTACCACGGGTGCTATATTTGAGCACCCGTTGAGGTTCTTCAAAGAACCTTTCATACAGTTTCGCATAAATTGCCTTCAAAATGTTATATTTTGTTGCAAGAGAGACACAGGCATTACCTTAGCGACTATTTTTAATTCTTTTCAAAACCATATTTAATTCCTTTTTAATTTAATAATGTAAATTAATTTTATTTTAATAAATGTTTCCTTTTTACAAAAAGTACTTTTTTTTTATTTCTGATTTTTGAAGGAGAGTTAAAAAATAATAAAATGAATAAATAAATCAATTTATATTGTTTTTATTATAACTATATAACTATAACTATAATATAATAACTATTTTATTTTATATATCTAGAGAAAATCAACATTTAAAGTAATGTTTTATATTTAATATAAAATAAAGCATATATACTTTTTTACTATAATAGTTTATATACAATATTATAATATATTGTAAATATTTTTTTATTATGAAAAAATAAGCATTTATAATAGAGTATTTTAAGAATCCACGTATGTTGCAACTTATGACTCAATGCATAATTATTAAAATAAATGTAAAACCACTCCAGAATAACATAAACAATTAATTTTAAGGGTAAAAAAAAAGCTGAATTATTGACTATGCAAATATATAATTACAAACACATAATAAATCAATTTGATTACTCATTCAAAGTATTTGCCATTCTCGTTATAGTCACTGGTGATGCTTTAGTAGACAATCCATAAACAATATGTTCATAAAACAACAATGTGTTCTTCAATTGCGCTGGATATTGAATATTATATATATAATACGATGCAAAAACACACGACATAGCCAACGAAACATCAACATCGCTGAAATGCTTTATTATGTTGCAACCACCCAACATTACACAACAGTCTTTTGTTATTAGCCTTTGTTTTTTTGGCACTTTGATAGTTGGCGTACTCTGCAATGGTTCGATGTCAAACGTAACCAGGCAGTCTATAGATTCTTTGAACAGTCTTGGTAAAACAATAATGGCTGCATTTAATGTGGCATCTGTAATGTAACAAATTATTTATAAAATACTGTTAATAGTAAAATACAAGACCAGGCCTTAGAATTAGGTAGAAAAAGCTTATTATATTGTTTAGATGGAATGAATACACTGTTGAAAAAGTCTAGTATAAAATTAAAAAAAAAAAAAAAAAAAAGTCTAGTATAAAATTCGAAACAATCAGCAAAAACTCGATGACCTCAAAAACAGTTAGGTCACCATTGCCGAATGTAGATCCTAATTCCAAGGGTTGTATAAGGCCATGTGCAACTACTAATAATCGAAATCAGAACTACTAATAATCGAAATCATTAATATTCTAAATCAAAATTTAATTTACTTTTACTTTACATTGCTAACATTTTATAAAATATTGCGACACAAATATTAAACATTACCTTTCTTCATGGAGTCATCAAGCTCACACTCAATTTCTGCAGAAATTGCATTTACTACATCATCTTTATGCTTTGATTTTACGAGTTGCATAATTTTGTCAGCCATTCCACCCATACATTGGTGGAGTTGTTTGTCAAGATCTTTAGCAAATCTTAATCTCATTTCATTTAGAAACTTAAAAAATATATATATATATATATATATATATATATATATATATATATATATATATATATATATATATATATATATATATATATATATATATATATATATAATTAAAATTGCAATCATTTATTGAGTGTTTCAGACATTCAACAAAGTTTTAAATTTAAACTACCTTAATATAAAAGTATTTTAGGGACCAATATTCTATAATATGGGCCTATCTATTATTTATTCACATTTATTATATAAAAATAACATTTTCCTATTAAAAACTACCCAAATGAAATACAAAATGGGTTAGATATAAAAAGTGAAAAAAGTGAGTACAACCAATTAATTGATTGTTTACCCTATATATATATATATATATATATATATATATATATATATATATATATATATATATATATATATATATATATATATATATATATATATATATATATATATATATATATATATATATATATATATATATATATATATATATATATATATATATATATAACACTTTTGAAAGTATCAATTTATATAAATTAAAAAGTTATTTTTTTCAGCCTACCAAAAGTATTTTGAGATAAAACTTTTTTCAAAGAGAATAAAAAAATGTAAGAAATAATAATACAATGTAATTTATAACTTTATAACTAGTGTAACGCAGAATTTTAAAAGTAAAATATTATGCTAATAAAAACAAACCAATCTAGCAATAGAGAGCCAAGGATAAGTAGATTTTAAATCTGCTGTACTTAATACAGAATCAAAATCCTTTGCACGAGCAGCACAAGTACGTTGCTGGCAATCCAACAGCATGTTAATGTCTGGCCGGAGCTTATTGCATTCTATTTTCATGTCATCATGATATTTTACAATAGTTGTTTCATCTTCCCCAAGAGGAAGTTTGTTCGGCTTTAAAAAAAAGATGTTTTAAAAATAGAAACTTTACTTTTAAATAAATCTTTCTTTTTTATTTGTGAAAAAACTAAATGCATGTATAAAGCAAAAAATATTTATACCAATTCTCTATTTTTCCTAGTAAAAGATTGGTTATCACTAACAGCATCTTCCTTTCTTTTTTGACCTCTACTTTGTTGGCCAAATTTCTTCTTATGTTCAGCAACAGCAGACAAATGGATTAAAGGAGCTCTTTCTTTTTTAAACTTGTTCTTCAAGCTTTCTAATAGTGTTGGCTAACATGTGTATGTGTGTGTGTTAACGTGTTTAATATTTTATCTATTTTTGAAATTGAATTTCGGTTTATAAATTGAAATATAAATAAACTTAGAAGTATAAATGTAAATAATACATATAAAAAAGCTAATAGGGATGTAATCAGTAAATGCAACAAAAGCATTACATAGAAACTTACACAAACATCATATCTATAAGAAGAAGTACTTTTTGATGGGAAGTCACTTAAGTGTGGATACCTACTGCAAATGGCAGCAAGTACAGCTGAGTATTGCACACCTGATGGATACCTATACAAAAATCTTTAAATATATGTTTTACATAATTATTATATTATACATATATAATATAATATTATACATAAACTACATTTATTTATAAAAACAAGTTTTATATAACCAAGTGAAATTTAAGTTTTAAATAATGCAACTTACATTGTGTATCTGCTGATGTCGTCATAAAGACATTGTAAAAGCTGGTTCCTACATTTGCTACGATTCAAGTTAAGAAAACAATGATCTTTAGCATCTAAAGCTGCATTTACTGATGGAGGCAAAATGGATAGTTGATAACACACTGGCCATGGTTTCATACTTTGGGACACTCCAGCAATCATACTACCATCTTCATCACAAGATATTGGGGATGTTATTGATGTATTTAAAACATCATTTTCAATAACACTAATTAATATATTATTTCAATTACTATGCACTCTAATTACATTTTCTTTTTGTAAAAAACAAAACCTTTTATGAACAACTAATTTAAGAGTGATATATATCAGATACAACTTATTAAGTAAAAATTTAAAAATTAAAAAGTAACATATAAGCTAAAATAAAAATTTGTTTACTAAGAGCTAGTTCTTTCGTGCTGTTCATGTGAAGTTATAAGATGCCTTATAATTTCAATGAGTACTACTTGCCGACGAATCATCTGACATAAACTGGCCACCATTGTCTCAGTTAAAGACACCAGCGTTTTTCCATCAATTTCTTCCTCTATAATAAAATACTTACAAAAATTGTAAAAGGGTAAATGTTGAGATTTTAAATTAATTAATGCAATAAAATATTTAATCAACTAAAGACGCGGCAGCTCTCATAAAAAATAACACAATAAATATTTTATTTTATTTTAATAAATAAAAATAAAAGCAAAGTATTAGCACATGTAATATATTTTGGCAAGAAAAAAAGTATCCAAATAATGATATCAAGTTAACTACAACATTGTTATAATAAAAATCTAAAGAGATTCTATAAAAAACAACTGTATCTGAGTGTAATATAACAACACCCATCCTGCAAAACATATGTCTATCAATTGGTGATCAAGAACATCTGCTGGTAAGCATATTGTCAAATCTTCTTCTTCCACAACTCTGAAGGCATGCAAGTGAGCAGAGTATTTATCACAAATAAGAAACTTGCCACAAAACACCCAGTGATGACGAAATCTTATAATATGATATATTTTAAAAAATAATGGTATTTCTTCCACATGTAATAAAGCTAGAATCACTGTATCATGAACATGAAATTGGATTCCATTTATAAGCAAGCTGCTACACTTCCAAATAGTTTCTTTCTTATCAGTAATACTATAACCAAAAAAACTTACTAGTTTTTCTTGAATAGAAGCTGCTAAACTTTCAAACATAATGGAACAAAGATTTTAAGTTTTCTCATATTCTTTGAAAAAATCTGAGGATGTCATCTCCCAACACTGCCGTAACTGGTGTCGTTTTGCAAGCGAATAGGCAATATTTTTAAAATTTCTAATCGAAGAAGCCAATTTTTTGAAATACAAGAGTTTTGCTTCAAAACGCATACACCATAAATAACGTAGTGGCTCATAATCATTAATAAGACGAGCATAATGAAGCATGAAATGAAACTTGGGTGTAAAATTGTCTGGGAAAAGTTCAGCAAAATTGTGCAAAAACTGCTCCACTAAAAATTGCAGAAACGATAACACCGATTTAGAAATTTTTGGAGCAAACACATAATCAGCTATTTCTCTAAGCTGTAAATACAGCAACCAATATTTGTTAGACATAGGTATACGATTCCCTATCATAAATGGTAACAAACGAAACATACAATATTTTTGTGAGGCTGATCCAATAAAATTAATAAAAGTAGCAGAACGTACAACAAATGGAACTGGTTCAATCTGTCATTTCAAACCTATTTCAACCTATTTCAAATGTATTAAGCTCTACATTTATCTGATCAATCGAAATTAATTTATCTTCTTTGAGTTTTAACAACAATAGACTAATTAATCGAGGAATTGTACCTTCCAGCATGTCATGCATTATGTCTGGTGGAAACGATTGCATAACTTTAAAATATGATAAATCTAAAAAAGGACAACACCTTTCAACACCGTACATACTTGATGAAATTTGACCTTGGCCATAAATAGCAGCCAAGTGATACTGATGGATTTCATCAGTACGAAGTGTTGCATCAAGCTCAGAAAATATATTGTTTTTGTTAGTATATGAAGTCATACACTGACGACAAAAAAAACCAGAATTAAAAACACGACGAAAACCAGCCAGTGCATGGTCTGAAAGGTTATCAGCAGAGATTGTTGCTAAGCCACCAAATAATCGTGTCTGTTGGCCATCAACCATAACTAATATGCCTTCATTTTGTAATGTTATTAAATCTTGAATGAAAGGTTTTAAAACATCCTTGTATGTTTTATGTTCTTTAATTAATTTTTCTTTAACAAGAATGCATAAGTATATATTTTGAAGTCTTGATATATATTTATCTTCAATGTTACCCAGGAAAAAGTAAAATGCACATATTTTATGTACTTTATGATGAGCTCCAATCGGATTGCATACCTCAAATTCATCAATATACAAATGGAGTCTTAAAGCATACTTGTTATTAAAAATGTTATGGTGCTTGCAAATAAAACCATCTGAATATGAATAAAGCAAATTTGTTTTCACTGACAAATCATTCTCTAATTTTCGTTTTATAGAATTCCATATTTCCTCTTTTTCAATTAACTGTTTAAGCAGTGGTAAAATTGGAATGTATTGAAAAGACTCTTTAATGTTTGTGTTATTATCATTATTACAAGTTGTATCACTAAAAGCGTTTCCAATAATAGCACTTTTAGGTAAACCATTTTGATGATCACAATTTGAATCTACACAAAAATCATTTTCATCTAAGATATCATCTTTACTACACAAATTTATTTCAAGTGGCAAAATAACTCCTAAATTGGCTTTACTAAAGGCAATAATTTTTTTGCTGGAGTTAACAACTGATAAAACTCTATCTAAAATCAATTCATTGTTTAACAAATTTTGTAAATTTTCATTTGATACTAAGCTGTTGCCTAATTCCTGTTTTATAATACTACAAAAATTATTATTATAATAAGTTAGCAAGGATTGGACTTCATTAGCCAAATCAATTTGCACCACAGATGGAACAGAATGCTTTTCAGCTATTCCGACAATAAACAGAGCAAAATGCTGCTGCAAGGTGTCTAGCAACTTTTCTAATGACATAGACAAATCAGGTGAATCAGAATGAAAACAACTGATAGTTGCATTGTCACATTCATTTCCATTGCTTTGATCATCACAGTTTTCTAAATATTCATTTTCTAATATTTCAGCAGTTGAAGGTGCAGACGTTTGTTGACAAATTATTTGAATAGTAAATTGTAGTATGTTTAATTCTAATATGCTGACGCAAACATTTTATAGATTTATAGGATGCTGGGCAACCATCAATATTACATACAGCAAGATAACCAGCTGTATGCTCATGCATAATATGCAAATGATCTAAATATTTTTGCATAGAATACTTATGTATACCGCATGTGGAACAGGTAAAGCATATAATATTACTATTTGCTGCCATTCCAAAATATTTTACTTAAATTTAAGTTAAAAATGACTAGACTAAAAAAAAATATTAAAGTTCAAAAATAATTATAAAATAAAAAAATTAAAACAACAATCAAACCAGTAATTTTCTGTCTCAATTCGGGAAGTCCCTTTAATTCTAAATATCTGCAGACATCTTCTACACTCCAATTTAAATGTTCTGCCATACCAAAAACCAACGAAACACTTTAAATTTAAATCAGATTTTTTTAAATGCTTTTTACAAAGTACCATTAAGCGTTTAACTCCAATAAGCACGCGAGATATATAAAGAACCCTTATAAATTGTTTAAAAACACGAAGAACCTTATCGAAATTTGATCAAGAACCATACAACTGCGCGAAGAACCCGTTAGCTAGTTAAAGAACCCCAAATGAATTTAAAGAACCATTTGGTGCGTCAAAGAACTCTCAAAGAACCATTTAGATTTACAGTGAAGAGTGGCAACAATATCTTAGAATTAAAAATAAATCAAATATATTATTCTTAGTAATAACTAATTATTATACACTGATTATGAATACTTAATAATAATAAGTCTTGATGGATATACATTAATGCAAAACCGTTAAGTCAATCTTCTGACATTGTTGTTCTTGTATAGTCTTTTAACAGACACATAATAGAAAAACTCCTCTCACATTAAGTACCTTAAGCTATATTAATATTTTCAAATTTAGGAAATAATATTGATAAAAGAGTTAGGGATATTATTAGGGATGCATGATGTTTGAGGCAGCTATTTTGAAAATTATAATATATCATTTTTGATGGTAACAAATTTATTTTTTAAGAGCTGAAATAAGGTGCAAACCGTCTAAGACATTAATAGTTTTTGATTGCAGTAACCGAGTAACTGGTAAAATAAAATTCAAGACACGTATTGCAAAAAATAAAGTAAAGATAAATTAAAAAATGCTAATGGAATTTTAAAAAGTAGAAAATTTATTTTGTGTGTCATTAAAATTCAAAAACTCTATATAACGATTTCAAGGAAATACTTTATATATTTGCAACCAATCAAAAAACTGCTGCAAATGCTGCAAAGTGTACTTTACACTACAATTTAAAAAAATTAAAAAAAACAACAACAGATTGCTACTTTTAATAGCGTAAACCAATTACCTTATCCGATTTTCTCATATCCTGCAAAGTTTGCATTAGTTATTTTTATAAAACATTTTTTATAGCCTCTGCAAAGCATAGTTTTCACTGCAGGGCCGACGACACGTTTTTTGAAATGGGGGGCACAATCATCAATTTGTGAAAAAATCCTCTTTATCAAGAATTTTCTTAAAAAAAAAAATTTCCTCTAAACTTTTTTGGGGCGCTTAAATTTGTGGGGCCCAGGGCTATAGCCCTCCCAGCCCCCCCACTTTGACCCGTCACTGGTCATAGTACCATTTATTTTTTTTACACCGTAACTTGCAGCACTTGACGGGGTTTAAATCCGCCTCTGAGACAGTATTTTGTTTCGTTTATGCGCTATCCAATCACTGTATGCAGCTCTGAAATGAAGTAGAAGAAAGAATATTAGAAAAGGACACGCATTCCCGGTACACATTTTAATTACAGGGGGAGGAGGAAGCGGATTTTTGGGAAATATTGGGACAAATTTTCAATTTCGTCAAAACGCTGCACAGTGACTTAGGACAATCAAAAAAAGGCAAAAATTAAATAAAATTTGACATTAATCGTAAATAAATAATGTTATAAATTAAAATAATAATTTTTGAGTCAAAGCTTCGACGCGTAAAATGCGCGCTTACGCGTGTTAAAGGTATAAAATACGCGTACAAATTTTTTTTTTTAGTTTTTAGAATCTTCAAGACAAACACATAAATTTGATTTATTACTCATCTTGATATTTTTAGAAAAATGGTTTTTAAAGGATGTTGATACATAGAGAAAAAATACTGTATTATATTACATTAAATTTATTATTTACATTACAATTAATTTAAAAACTTCATCTGGTAACGGTTTAGTTACCAGAGGAAGTTTTTAACCTCGATAGCTCTTATGTTTTCTAAAAGATATGCTTGATACTTTTAGATCTGATCTTACTAGAAGGTAGTGCATCTGATTCATCATTGTGTTTAACCTTGATATTTTTGATGTGTGCTTAAGTATAGAATTTGTTTTCTGTTTATTTAAACTCTCTAGTGCATCTTCCAAATATACCCCGATTGGCAAAGGTAATTTATTTGATATAGAATAACTATACAGTAGCAGTTTATGTAAAGTAGGAGGCATAACATACCAGTTGTATAAACTCACTATACGTTTAGCTGTTTCAGTGCAGTATAAATCTAATTTATTGATATTAATAGGATATCCACAAGATATGGTTATGAGAATATTATGCAATCTTTTAATTATATCACAATCAACTTTAGTAATTTCAGAAAAAACTTCAGTATTTTTAAATGCTTTTCTGGCAGTGTTGCCATCATTTGTATTTCCAGACTCAGTTTTAGGCATATCAACGTATAGGCTTAACCATTCTCTCAAGAGTACCTGAATCTCTCTTTTTTTTAAGTCTACAGATAATTTTTCCTTATTGTTTTTGGCATATACTTTTTAATTTCAATTTTATAACTCAAATGAAGAATAAATTCCAAGCATTTTATCAAGCAATGCAAAGCTGAAATTCCGAGCCCTAAGGCCAAGTCGTTCTCAGTTTTTGTTTTAATAAATCAATATTGTTCATTTCCTTGGGTTTAACATTGCATACATTGCAGGATTGAGTGGATTTTGTCTCTGTAAGTACGTTAACTACTTTATTATCAAACATTGTAAGATCAATCCTATAGCTGATATTAAATGTCAAAATTCTTCCTGCAATATTAAAAACTTTGCAAAATGTCTTAAAGGTATTTATTTGATTTTTTAGATCTGATTCATCTTCTCTGGATAAAATTGACTCTCTTTTTTATATTGTAGATGAAGAGGTCTACAAAAGTGACAGCTTGAAGGATTTTCATTTTTCCAAAGATGGCGAATCTTCTACTTAGAGCTATAAAAACACAAAAGCTGTACTGAAAAGATTTTCTTCATGCTTAAGTTCTATACTTGCATTGCTTGAATTGTATTTCTGTTTATAAATACTTTGGGTTGATGCTCCATCAAAACCAATTTTTCCATATAAAACTCCAAATATTTCGTCACTTTGACCAAAATTAGGCATATCAATCATTTCTGTTATTCTACTCACAGTGTGATCTAACATGCTTTGAAGAGTACACTTTGCAGAAATTTCAGAAAAATGTATATTCTCAGGATAGCATTTCAATTTTTCCACAAAAATATCATGCAAGGTAGAATAAATATGTACATTGTGTACAAGAGCTGAGTTTCTGATCATTTGATATTGTTTATTGCTGAGATCAGTATTCATTTTTAATGCAAGAGTATCCTCTACACTCATGTTAATGGGAAAGGTTTTAACCAAAGTTTCATCATTTTTTTCTATCTCTAAAACATTAGATATATTGTTTTTTAAAACAGAGGCTTTTTTTTTTTCTCCAGCAGCATTTGCACTTTTTGCAGAAGCTAAAAATAGAGCTTCATGATGTTCAGTGGCTAGTTCTTTTATTTTTTTTTCTTTTGCTTTGCTTTTCAAGAACACTCCATTTCTTATGGGGACTTCCAGAACCAAAATGGCTATTTTTATTGTTCATAAGATTTCTTTGTAGCCAACAATTTTCTTTTTGTATAAATGTATCATAGTTTTGTCCAGATCATTTTAGTTTTTTGTTCACTTTTGAAATAAATATAACTAAAGCAAGCGTTACTTTATTTAAGTTTTCTTTGCGAATTTCTGCAGTATTTTTTATTTCAGGGTCAAATCATTATATTTTAACCAATGGCCTGTGGGACACTATCTCAGATTTTGACGATTTTTACATATCATTTTCTATATTATGTAGATAGGTTAAATTTGAAATTTCAGACTTCCAAGTGCAACGGTTCAGAAAATATAGCTTTTTAAACACTGCTTAGTGGCCCCCCTCGATTTAAGAATCCTAAAAACAGACAAAAATAGGCAAAAAATAAGCTGAATGGTCCAATGGACAGAAAATAATGGATGAATTTAAAACAACACAATTTATGGTAAAACAAGCTAGAGCTTTATGGGACACTAAAGTTATCCTTGGTGAGAGAACAACTGACATAAAAAATCCAAAAAAATGACTTCCAAAGTTATAAATCAAATTGTCAACTTTTATGAAGATGATAGTAATAGCAGATAATTGCCAGGTGCTAAGTATTATATTAGCATAAAAACAGTTAAAAGTAGAAAACTCATTCATAAGCGACTCATTATGCATTCTTTCAGAGCTATACCAAAAATGGGTAGTAGAATCAAAGTCTAATAGAGTGGTTAAAGTGGGATTAACTTCATTTGTTCTTTTAAGGCTAAAACACTGTGTACTTATTAGAAAATCTGTCACCCAAACTGTGTTTGTATCAAATTCCTAATCTAATGGTAAAAGTATTCAAAAATGAATTAAAGTTAAATGAACTGATGGCCTTATGCTAATTAGAAAATAAAAAACTGATGGCTGTATTACAAGAACTGATAGCTGTATGCTAATTAGAAAATAAAGAATGCGCTTTTCATGAGTGTAAAGAGTGTCCCAGAAAAGAAAGAAGTGAAAAGAAATTAAATGATCTGGTTGGCGATTCAGCAAATGAAATAACTTATAAGCAATAGTTGAAAACTGAAAGATTCTTTAGAGACTCCTTAGAAACAATTGTTAAAAACCTTGATAAGTTTTTTGAAGAGTTAAAAAACAACTTATATAAACTCACAAAACATCATTATGTCAGCAAATTTCAGACATACTTTTTAAAGCAGTTAAAAAAAAACAACTTGAAAGCAAATAATTTATCATACAGGATTAAGTTCAGGCATTATATTTTTCTAAAAATCAGGCAACTCCTCATCCATTTGTTGTATTTATGAGATCTTTTAATGGAAAACTGTCCCTAGAAAGCAAATTTTATTGCGTTATATCATACAATCTGATTCACAAAACTGAGGCAGTCTTCAGTTGTTTCAAAAATTGTATTTATTCTAAAAAAATATCCACAAATTCAGAAGATTCGTTATTTCACTGATGTTGCAGGCAGCCAGTATAAAAATAGGTAAGTTAATTTTTTAATTAATATCATTGAAAAAATTCTAATTAACCAATTTTAAACAAACCATATTCGCTTATTCGAATGATGTTTTTCAAATTAGCTGTATAATAATCAGGATATTAATTTTTTAGTCAAATTAATTTTTTTATGAATATAATTTTTCTTCATGTATTATAGATTTAATTTGAAAAACCTTTGTTATCATGAAAAAGACTACGGGCTGATAGATTAGCATTTTTTTTGCACTGTGCATAAAAAAAGTGCATGTAATGGTACATGTGGTACAGTGAAGAGATTAATTGATAACCTGTCCCTCCGAAGACCGATTGGAAATCAAATTTTGACACCAAGAACATGTTTTTAGTTGCTAAAGAAAATTTAAAAAAAGTCAGTTGCTGCACTTTCTTATTTAAGTGCAAGTAAGTTTTCTGAATTTTTTCAAATATTGTCTCGTATCCTATATTGTTATGGACTTTTAATTGAAATAAAAAAAATAGCTTATATATAATATTCTTAGTTATAAAAGTCAATCCTATAAAACAAACTTTAAACTTTTTGCTATAAAAGTATTTTATAAGGAAAATTTTAGAGAAAATGTTACTTTAAAATAAAAGCTTACAAAATGCATTTTAAAAATTATATACTTGGATTATAAAATTTATTTTGAAATTTATTTTTAAATTTCTCTATAATTATTGCTAAATTATTTGAAAATGTTCCTGCTATTAAAGGAGCCCGCTCATATCATGGTTTCTCACCTCTATCCTGTTGTTTAAAAGCTTATGTAACATCAATGAGCACAACATTTGACATTTTTCACATGCTGGATGATACTTGCATTAACACTCAAAAATCAGCAAATGTTGACATCAATATTGCTGAATGGGTGTTGCACATTGTTTTATTAAATTTTTCCCTGGAAAGATAATAGATGTTAAAGGTGACTATATATCTGTCAGCTGTTTACATAAAGCTAGCAATTATTTCAAATATCCAAAAACACCAGATACTTATTTGTATCCAGTTAGTGACATTATTGCCACATTACATGAGTCTGAGCTCCAAAACACAAGAGAGTTTTACTCCTATCTAATAAAAAAAAAAGATTAGATAGATTATACTGTATTAATTGATTTGAATTAGCAACTAATTGTCAATTAGTAAGTAAAAACCAAACCTAATAATTTAAGTAGTTTCTAACAAGTTTCGACTTTTTTCTTTATTAATCATTATTTATTTTTTATAGAAGTTATTATATTTTTTAAGCCCCCTGATGTATCATGAATATCCCCTTGATATATTATGAAAGTCTTATTGAAAATTGTTCAACATTAATTATGTAAAACAACAAAGGTCTTTGACTTTGAAATATAACACTCTTTAATTGCGTAAATTATGTTTAAAGTATTACTATTTACCAATGTTACCGAGTTTTAGTTAGTTATTGTCCCTTTATTTGTGCCCCTACCCAGTTTAAAATCCAAATCAGCATGGGGGCAATCAACCATATCTTTCATTTTTTTAAGAAACAATTTATAATCAGTTGCACCCATTGAATATGCTATTAGGCAGGTTGGGGGGGGCGCTAGTTTCCAATAATACATTCAACCTTTAATAATTGAAAAATAAGGTTATTTTAAAATGCTGCCATTTTTGTTGTGAACGCAACAAGTAAAAAATGTTTGCATTTTCAGATAGTTGGATCTTATGGGCTTAATTGCTGTTAAGCTTAGGCCAATACAAAGTGTTAGAAAAAATTACGAGCATTTTAAAATGGCTGAAAATAGGACTTTTTTGGCAAATCAACAATACATTTTTAGATATATTTCAGTTCTAAACTGCAACAAGCAGCTTATTTTTTGCCTAGTTGTTGCAGATAATAGTAGCTAATCAGAAAGCTAAACTGTAAGGGCTTGTTGATGAATAGAAAACTACTACAGTTAACTTCATTGTGGCCTTTTTTAACATTTTTCAATTTTTTTCGAAGTTGAGGAGGCTATAAATTTTTTCTAGTATGATACAAAAACAGTATTTTTAACACAGAACTACCCAGAAAACACTTCTAGAAAAAATGAGCCACTTGTTGAAAGATAGAAAAAGGTTATGAGGCTTTAAAGAAGTCTGTCTTTACGATTCTTAAATCGAGGGGGGCCACTGTGCAGTGTTTATAAAGCTATATTTTCTGAATCGTTGCACTTGAAAGTCTGAAATTTCAAATTTAACCTATTTACATAATATAGAAAATGATATGTAAAAATCAGCAAAATCTGAGATGGTGCCCCACGAAGTTTTCCCAAAATTGGTTGAAATATAATGATTTAACCCTTCATTAAGTAAATCCTTTCATAATTTTAGTTTATCAACTCCTAATTCACATATATTTGGGATAAGATCTAATCTTTTCATTGTTATTGTTTTTAAGAACCATCAATATAATAAAACTAATATATCAGAAACATTTTAAATAACATGACATATTTTTTTACTTTATACTGTTTCAAATTTTATTTTGTTATGACCTTTAACAATTTTCACATTGTTACATCCTGTAATAACACATATTACTTAGTTAACTTTATATTACAGGAAATACTAAAGTTGTTCAATCAAGCTTTTTCAAATATGTTGTACTTATCGAATAATAAATTGTTCTTTAAAATTGTCAATAAATATTTTAACAAACTTCTAAATAGTATATAATGACAAAAGCATGTTTTTTAAAACTATATTTAAGTTTCCCGCGAATTTCATTTGTTTTGATATAGTAAAGTTCTTAGCATATGGCAAAAAATAAGGTTTTTATGAAATCATCAACATTTGTTTTTCTTTAATAACTCCCAATACCGCAGGAGACCGCAGTAATCCCTTTATGTTCCTAAAGTAGAAATGTTAGTTAACTGGAAAATATATATATATATTTGTGGAACTTGTTGGAACATTTTTTTAGCTGATATATAAACAAAAAAAATACAATTATTTTCTCCTTTTTTTTTTTAAGAGGTTTTTAAATTTAAACGAAAAAATCAGACTTTTTTTTTTTTCTTTTTAGTATATTTGAAATATATAGAGTTAAAAAATTATTTTAAAAATAAATATACACTTTTATTTATATTTCAAATTATCTTATTTAGTTGAATAAAAACCTCACATTTTTCAGATTTCTTTAAAAATAATATCAAATTTTTTCACTTTTTTCACCTAAAAAATAAAAAATAAAAGTTTTATGAAAAAATTATTTTTACTTTTTAAATAAAAAGTCATTGTCTTTTAATATTATCTAACAAAGGGCACTTAATTTATAAAAAAGTGGCGAGGGGTTTATTGCCATTTTTTTGTTTTGAGTCACCATGCACTGTATCAAATTTATTCCTGGTTAACACCCTGATACTGTACATATTTTACATACAAATTGATGATTTTATCTATGCATTAAGCTACTTACATTCTGTCTTACAACTCTTCTTAATTGGAATATTTAAATTGTCTTTTGATATATTTATAAGCATATATATATATATATATATATATATATATATATATATATATATATATATATATATATATATATATATATATATATATATATATATATATATATATATATATAAGCAGCGTTCATTTTGAAAACATCAAGTTGTTTTGAAAACATCATGATTATTGTAAAAAATGTTTTCATCACATTGTGAAATAATTTAAATTTTTGATTAAAAAGAGGTTGTTTCAGTCAATTATTTATGATGTAAAATTTTCTGTTTTTTTTTGAAGTTTCGGTTGATTTTACACCTGATATAAATCACATATCTCAACTTAGTATAAATTATACTAAATTGAGAAATGTGATTTATTTTTTTAACTACTTATTTTGTTTATTTATTTATTTAACTTATTTTTTTAACTACTTATTTTGAAAAATTTAACCCTTCTATTGGCTTGTTATCTTTAGCATACCTGAAGATATGCTGAAGATAACAAGCCAAGAGAAGGGTTAAATTTTTCAAAATAAGTAGTCACACTGGAGAATATTTAGTTCAAATAACCCACAGGTTCTTGACAAAAGAATGCAAATCAGACTTTTCTAAATATAGATCTCAATCGTATGATTACAGATATAAATCTGTACCCAAGATTTCTACCTTATGCAGGACATTCATTAAATTAGATTGGCAAAGCAGGAGTTGAATGTTGCATAATAATAGTTGAATGTTGCATAAAAACAATCAGTCAACTTTTTTGCTTTCTTTTGCGCAATTTATACTTTTTTTGAATGCTTCTGCGAAGCAAGGACAGGTGATTCGAGAATATTCTGCAAAGATTTTGAAATCATGATCTTAAACATAGTAGGCAAAATGCAAACAAAAGTCAATTACCAAAATAAAATACCACTATTATGACATTTTGGACGCATTGAATTCATTATATGAGAATCATTGATTTGATACTGAATCTCAAGCTAAATCAAACAATTTGTTGATGAAAATAGAAAAGTTTGCACTTTTAACAATTCTTTGGGAAAGAGTTTGGCAAAGAGCATGGCATTTGGCATGGAAGTGATATCATATCTCAATCCTACAGAGCACAAAATTGACGCTAAAAACTTGCTCAGACTTTGCATAGTTAAAAGTTTTTTTTTTGGATATGAACAAAGAATTCTCAGACATAGAATAAGAAGCCAAAAAGATTTTGCCTGATTCTAACTACAAGATGCAGCAGCCATAAATTCGAAATAAATTTTTTGGCGAAAGCATAAAATCTTTATTTAAAAAACTAATTTTTAACAGAAAAATTTAATAGTACAACTATTTGCTTTATTTTATTTATTATTTAATGTTACATTATAAGAATTATTTAATTGCTAAATTATAGTATTAATGTTTGTAAATGTATTAAGTTAAAAATACATTTTTGTTGGAAATGTTTAAACTTTGCAAATGCAACCAAAATTTTTTTTTCATTGCAATAAAAAAAACTATATTGTTGATTTTACTGTTTATTATAAACAGTAAAATCAAAAATATAGTTTTTTGATTCGTTTATTTCTTTTATTTTTAAGGAGTAAAGCAGATCCAAAATCAGGATAAAGGTAATGGAATTTATAATACCAAACTGTGAAGACTATGTAAAGACAATATATTAATAAAAAAAACAAAAACAAGAAAATACCTGGTAAAAATCAAAAGAAACTTATCCAATAGAAGGTGCTCTATCCCAGTGCCAAATGTGTATACATAAGACATGAGGCTAAAAGAATATAAACACGTTTAATGACCAATATGGCTGTTGGTCTATTATAACAGTTTTAAGATAAAGATTTAGATATTGAACAAGTTACATCGATGACGAGTAAGTAAAGTTCAATACTCAAAAAATGTATAGAAGATGTATTCTAAGAATGCAAAAGCCTATTGTTATGCAATTCTATTATGGCACAATAATTACTGTCAAAAGTTAATGTAGTTTATGCTAACCACGTTCTGAGCATGCATTATACAGACCAACTGTTATTAACACATGATTTGTCTTTGTTACCATTGCTTCTGACTGTAGTTTTAACATAGTACGTTTATTAAAAGTGGTTATAATCATGTTTGAATGATTGTTTAAGCACAGAATGAGAAAATTTTTTGCTGGTCAGTTTACACATTTTATTTTATTCATATATATATATGTGTGTATATATATATATATATATATATATATATATATATATATATATATATATATATATATATATATATATATATTTTGCTCATTTTTTATTAAAAAAAATTTATTATTTAAAAAAAAAAATTATGTTTTCTGGTGAAGCCTAATCAGGCTTGGAAATTATTGCAACAGTTTAAATACATTAATACTAAATTAAATGACAGTGCAACATTTAAGTTTATTTGGTATTTGTTTATTGGGGTATTTATTTTTTATTTTTTATGCTTTTTCTTTTTAATTGTTTTGAACTTCATTATATTTTGCAGTCCTATACATATTCTATATATTCAGTTGTGCATCTGAATTTAATTAATCATAACCAGCCAACCAGACATTTTGCATTTCTTTGTTGAAAATTATACTATTTAGTATAATTATGCATTATAATGGTTATATAATTATTCATTATGATAATGGTTGTATAATTATGCACAACTATTATAATGTATGTTAGCAAAATGTTTTATCAGATTTTATTATATTTCAGATTTAATGAATGGCTATAGAACTCTGGAAAAGAACACCAACTCAAAGGATTGCTGATGCTTATGCAAAAAATGAGCAGGCTAAAGAACAATATAAAGTACGTTGTTGCAATTTGTACAAATAAAAGATAAAAAGTATTTTACAACTACTTTTTATAAGTAGTAAAATAAAGTAAGAAAATAAAGTAAAATAATAACAATGTAATAATAATAATAAAAAAAATAATAAAAGTAAAAATCTAAATAAAAAATAATTAAAACATTATAGAGACATGATTGTGTTTTTGTGATTTTTCAAAAAATAATTTAATTAGTTTCCTCAATTATTTTATTAACTTTATATGTGCTTAAATTACATACAGACAATAGGTCAGGTGAACAAAAAAACAATTGCTTTTACTCAGTAATTGGTCAGCTTTAAGTGAATAAAAACTTCAGCAATTTTGCTCAAATTTTTATTCACGTAAAGTTGAGCAATTACTCAGCGTTTTTGGAATAAATTGCTTAACTTTACATAAATAAAAATTTAAGCTATTTTGCTCAAGTTCTTGTTCACGTAAAGCTGAACAATTATTCCCAAAAGGCTGAGTAAAAGCAATTGCTTTTTTTTTAATTCACCCAACCTAATTACTGTTGTTGAAGCTAAATCAATATTTTGTTTTGTTAAAAATGAATAAATAACATTAGAGGAGATGTTTATACATTTGATATTTCTAGGGTGGGCAGATTAAAGCTCATAGTCAAAAGTTATAACTTCACAAGAGAAACAAAAAATGCAATATAAGTCAACTCAATTAAATAAAGTTAGTCATACCATATTAAATAAAAAAAGTCAACTTGATTAATTAAAACCCTTATGTATTGATTAAAAACAGTCAAGATTATAAATTTAAAGTAGGAGTTTTTGACTTATGTTTTTTAGTCCACCAACCAGAGGTTGAAGACAAAGCTTTTGAAAATGTTGCAGCTGCGATAAAAGTTCACAGGAATGTCCTTTGTAATAAAAAATATCAGCTCTTTCCTTACTCATGAGTTAGATAAGCATTTTTTATGAAACATTCTAGTTCATTTTAGTACTTGAGTTATTTCCTATGTGTAAAAATTAAAATGAGGGCGAGCCCTAACCCTTAGGACACTAAGAAGATCTTTGTTTTAAGTTATATTTATAAATGTTTGATGTTTAACACACTGACAACATTTAAACCTTATAATCAATTTTCTTAAAAATGTTTGGTTTGTTTGTTGTTGAAAGTTAAAATTTTGAGCTTAGTGTCAATTGTCTTGTATAAATATTTTAAAATATTTAGCTATTTGATTATTAAACTAAGTGATAACTTCAATTATGTGTATGATCTATTTTCATAGATTTCTTATCAATGCTAAACTCGGTGCAATAAACTGAACCTAACTTTTACATTTCTAAAGTCGTAGAATATTACAGTTTTGATTTTCAACCGATAACTTTTGATTATATTAACATCTAATAAAAACACGAATCACTATTTTTTCAATATAATAAAATTTTCTGAATTTTCAACCTACTGTAAATTTGATCGATTTAATTTTTAACTCACTGTATTTTCAACCAACTGTTTTTCTATAAATTTTAAACTTACTCTTTTTCTGGTATGTATTTTGTATATTTTTTGTTGATTTGAATCAAATAGGCAGAGTAAAATCTTGTGTTTTTTGCGTGTTTGTATATATTTAGTTAAATGAAAATGGCAGTAATAGAAGGAAACAAGCAGGTCTGCAATTGTCATAGAAACCGATGGTTTCTTGTGGATTAAATTCTTGAAACAAAAACTTTTCTTTCATTAATTTTTTATTTTTGTTTTGTTAAAAAAAATCGTGAAAACGCAAGAAAAATTGTTAAAAACAGTCTATTATGTTGAAACAAAAATTGATTGTAATTGGTTTTAATTATTTTGAAAAAATTAAAATTATTTTAATTATTTTGAAAAAATTAAATTATATTGAATTGTTTGAATATAAAAATCTTTAAAATCGAATGAAAAATAAGTCATTCAAAATGAAACGCCAGAAATCAGTCTAAAAAAAAACTATTATCGGTTGAAAACAGATAAGGGGAAGGTTGCATAAGATGAGCAGGTTCCTAAGATGCAATAAACTCTTCTATGGGTAGACTACTGATTTTTTGAGAATTTTTTTGGTTAAGTATATTCATAAAAGTTTTTTTTTTTTTAATTTACCATCTTTGTTATAATTTTTTATGATTCAATATTTTGTAATTACGTCAGAATAAAACAATATCAAGTATTTATTATATCCTTAATATTTTATTCTTTTTACTACTACTAATTCCGTGGGTTATATGAAATAGTACTTAAACTGTTGTCATGGTATTTAAATTTTGATGGTACTCGGTGAAATTGCTTAAGATGATATATTTTGAGACGCTCAAGATGAGATGCGACTTATATATATACATATATATATATATATATATATATATATATATATATATATATATATATATATATATATATATATATATATATATATATATATATATATATATATATATATATATAATATATATATATATATATATATATATATATATATGTATATATATATGTATATATATATATATATATATATATATATATATATATATATATATATATATATATATATATATATATATATATATATATATATATATATATATATATATATATATATATATATATATATATTAGGTGAGCGTTTTTAGAAAACGATGAGGGAAAACGAAGAATAATGAATGAAAAGGTTGCTGACCCATACCAAACCCTCAGTCGATGTAGCAGCACTCCACTGCGAGTCAGGCTATTTGTCAGTCGATGTATGTAGTGAAGCCCCCAGCTGCAGGCTTTTTGACGTTAGGTGAGTATGACATCATCATGCTCACCTAACTCAGCAGTATAAGATATATATGTATATATATATATGTGTGTGTGTATATATATCTATGTATGTATATATACATATATGTATATATATATATATATATATATATATATATATATATATATATATATGTATATATATATATATATATATATATATATATATATATATATATATATATATATATATATATATATATATATATATATATATATATATATATATATATATATATATATGTATATATGTATATATATATATATATATATATATATATATATATATATATATATATATATATATATATATATATATATATATATATATATATATTCTTTGTAGATCAACTTAGTAGATTTTGTAGATCTAGATACTAGATCTACAAAACCTACTTTTCTATTAGGTTGATTTCTTATAAGAATTTATATAGTTTCTAAAATATGTGAATTATGTCGGCATTTTATAATTAATTTTTAAATATATGGTTTTAACGTTTCGTTTTAAATAGAATCAAGATTTTAAATCTGCTGGTGAATATTACATAAGTTCAATACGCGATGTTATTCCAATTGTTCTGCAGACATCTGAATACGAAGAAGAAGTACGGAAACTGAAAGTAACGTGTTACTCAAATCTAGCAGCATGTCAGCTGAAGTTGAAGCAATATGACCGTGTTATTATTAATTGTAATAAAGGTTTGGAGTTAGACCCCAACAATGTGAAATGTTTATATAGAAGAGCAACTGCGCATTTGTTGTGTGAAGATATTGATAATGCTGAAAAAGATGTTAAAAAACTGATATTGCTTGAGCCTAACAATATAGCGTTTCGCCAGTTACTTTCTAGTTTAAAAATAAAAGTTTCGGATAAAAAAAAATTCGATGCCAAATTTATGAGAATGTTTATGAATACCTCATAAAAATTATTGGAAACATATTCTATTACTGTCAATGAAATATTATAATTTTTAAACGAAGATGGTGTTGTTATTGCGCGGTTTATTTTAGATAATTAAAAAATTCAAAATTCAAAGTTTGTCTCGTACGTAACGCAATTAACCTCGGAAGTAAAGCTTGGTTTCCAATAGTTGTACAAATGTTGTGCAACAGTTTTGCGCTTTTGTTGTGCAACAATTGTTGCCGAAATAGGTTTAATTCTATCTCCGCAACCTTTGTTTTACAACATAAGTTTTGTTGTACAACCGACGTGAAGTGGTGCAACTTACGCAAGAAAATGTTTCCATTATAAAGCATTATTGTTGTACAACTGTTGTACGACATTTCTACAACTATTGGAAACCAAGCTTAAAGGTAAATACGAGGATAGTGTTCTGGCTTCTTGTAATAAACAACTACCTTTATAAAAAATATTTAAACTTTAATAGTAATATGGTTTTATTTTAGAAAAAATAATGGTTATAAAACAAAAATCAATTATTTAATTTTATATGCAGAAAAAATAAAAACATTGAACAAAATTCTTTTGTCATTTTTTATAAGATTTTGTAAAGCTTTCTTTATCAATTTGTTTTGACTTTTATTTGAAATTTTGCCATTTGTTTAATTTTTTTATTTTTAGTTTATTATTTTTAATTTAGCTTTTAGTGTTAATTGTTAACTTACTAATAGTGTAGAAATATATTCAGTGTGATATAAGCGAGTTCAACTGACTTGAATAAGGGTTGGTGCAGTAAGTTGTACATAAACCGACGAAGGATTTTGGCTTGGGCATATTCTATTTATTTTCGCTCTTCCACGGGCGCTGTCCGTTGCAATACACACATTATACTTGCATAAATTTAATTTAAACGAATCTAATTTTTTATCAAGCAATTCAGCGTAACTTTGTGCTTGTAATGATACATGCACTTGAGTTGAGCCTAAGTTTCAAAACTGATTCTTGACATGCACATCGACGTTCAGTTTTGTCGAAGTAAAATCGTTAAATAAAAAGAGGGAAAAATCTGTAAATGAATATAAATTTAGTTTAAAATACTAGTAGTATAAAACGCAGTAAACTTATATGTAACTTATATATGAAAATTACGCATGTATTTAGTTAGAGATTATTATAAAAGAACCGATTCAGCCAAATAGATTATTATAGAAAAACTATAAGTACTTAAAAGTAAAGTAATCTATTTGTCAAAAACAGGAATAGAAATTAAGCAAGACAATGTGTTGTAGTAAATAATATTCCTTTCCTATTGCAGATCAAAAATTCAGAATAATCTTTATAGAATATCAAAACAAAATATTTTATTATTTTGTTTTATTGTTTGTTTAATCACGATTCCTTGCAAAATACTCAATTACTTGATCACGTATCAATTAAGGGCAAACATACTTAACTGCACCCTTAAAAAGCTTCTAATTAATTTAATGATCATACAATAGTACTTCAAGCGGAATAATGAAAAATACCCAGAGAGTTGAAAATGGTGCGTGGAGGGGTATTATTGGCACCACAAAAAGCTTTAATAAGACGCCGCATTTTGAAAATTATGGTGTTGATGAGACTTTAGAAAGCTTGTTATATGTATTATTGTTATATAAATAAACAAATAAAATGCTTAAAGTTGCAATAAAAAAACCGGAAACACGTTACAACCAACCTACTTTTTTCATTTGTCGAGATATTTGATGTAAAATTTAAGATAATGATCTTTTATGACACTTTTAAGTTGTATTATATTATCCAATTACTTGTAATAAATAAACGAAAATGATGCCTAAAAACCATGGCACATAATATAGGAGATCATAGGTGAAATAAAGCATAAGCAGTAATGGTTTTCTAATGATATTTATTAAATATACATGTCAATAACGGACGCTATTTTTGATTAGTCTTCATGACTGTTTGTTGCTGTTCTTAAGCCAACAATATCTTTGGATGTAAGAGCATTGTATAGCAAAATATAGTATGAAATTCAAATGAATAAAATAAAAAGTATTTAGAGATTGAGCTGAAAATTCTTTGTGAAAAGAATTTTCAGATAGAAATATTGTATTTTGACAAGATAGAAATATTGTATTTTGACAACTATATATAGTCAATATACTTCAGAACCGATTAAAACCAGGATCTACAGTGGGTTACGCACTTTTTTAAAATTTTTAAATAAATTCCTGATCTAAAGATTCCGAAATGGTATTCTTTAGATCCACAATTAGGAGGTAAAAAGGTTTTGAAAATTTTATATAAAAAAATAAATGTTTCTTTAAATATTAAGAAAACCTGAAGCAAAAAAAATTATACCATCTTAAGCTTTTGTTTGGACAAAATACGCTAATAAAATCATGCTAATTCCAAATAAAAGAATTCGAATAATTTGTAAATTGAATATTTCGAGGTTTTTTAGTAATAGCCTTTTTTTTTATTAGTTTAAATTCGACCAGCAATTAAAAATGACCACCAGTTTTTGGAATGGTTTTCAATTAAAAATTTATTCAGTTTACTGAATGGTTTAGAGTTAAAATTTTAAATCTTACTGAATGGTTTAGAGTAGGAATTTTAAATTTTACTGAATGGTTTCGATCAAATTGTCATAAAGTTTAACTAAAACTTTTTTTACATCACAATCGCCCCCCCCTCCCTTTAAATGTTTTGAATTTTTTCTTTTTTTTTTTGTAAGTTTATATATTAAACACAGCAAGTTGTTTGAAAACGGAAATAATATAGTTAGATTGTCGAAATAAAATTGCAATTTAATAAAGTTTAAAATTGTGTGATTGCTTGCTTACAAATCCTTATAACTGAAAATCTCCGCCCCCCCTCTCACCTTACAAAATCATATGCATCCCCAAAATCGAAAAAAAATTTCAAATTGTCCCCCTAAGACACCCCAACTACCTTCCTCCTCCTCCCTAAATACGCCCCTGAACACTATTTAACAATGATATTGAAACATAACAATAGTAATGCTACATAACAATAATTCGCATTGTTAAATACCCTGAATAAAATGTCAAGTCTGTTAAGACTAAAAAGTAGAAAATAAAATACAATGCTAAAAAATATTATCTTTTTTGTACTAAAAAACGGAAAATAAACTTTTTAGTTTAAATTTAATAGTTCAGTAAATTAAAGATTGACAGGTTTCGAAATTTTGTAAACAGGTTTCGAAATTTTGTGAACATCTGTCAATCTTTAGTTTAATAAACTATTAAATTTAAACTAAAAAATTTATTTTCCGCTTTTTAATAGAAAAATGATTACACTTTTTAGTAAATGTTTTTGTTATATTCTATTTGATGCCTATTTCTTTGAAAGATGATTAAAAACCAAGATAATGATAAATCACTCTTGACTTATTTTGATTCGGTTTAAAAGAGATTCAGGATATTTCTGTACTGGTGAGGACTTCTTATTTAGAACTTTTTGTTGGCGTGGTTGAGCAACTGAGTATTCTGGTTGATTTCAAAAATTATAATTCAAATTTGATTGGAATGGAGGCGCATCAAACAACCATAACTAAATTGTAAACGATATCCCTCATATATCACACTAGGTTCTTTTATCTCCTGATTAGGAAGTTTTTGTATCGCCAAGCTCTTATATCAATTCCGTAAATACAAAGTTGATATAATAGGAAAACATATTATAAATTTGCATATTAAAGACAGAGTTAAAAAAGAATTTGTTAAATAGTATTCTTCGCTTTAATTTAGCGTTTTATACGCGTTTTATGTTTTTAGTAATTTGTATAAAAAAGCAATAACATGGTCTGGATCCGCCCTTGGTCAGTCTATGCATTGTTTTTCAAACATAAATAAAAAGGATTTCTATATATTTCCTAATAAAAAACTAAATTTAATTATTTTAGCATATAAATTTCGCGCCACAGATTTATTCATGCGTGATAATAATCTTGCAAAACGCAAAAAATTTAATAGCTATTTAATTAGATAATAGCCGATAATATAATAATTTAATTAGATAATAGCTATTTAAATAAAAATTTAATAGCTATTATTAAAACGCAAAAAATTTAATAGCCATTTCATTAGATAATAGCCGCTAAGTACTGCATATAAATTTACGCTAACTATACTGATCACCGCATAAAGTCGATTTAAAAAATACAAGCAACTTTAACTTCACTACTAACATCTTAGAAATCTTTTAGTATGCTCCATTAGGGATGTGACTTTTTGGTAAACTTTTGGTATCTCCAGTTTCCAATATAAAAAACAAATGAACTTTGGTTTGAAACTAACTGAAAAGTCATTAGTTTTATTTAATTTTTGAAAATGTTCACCCACCAATGACCCTTGATTGCACACTGGCTCCCATTTATCAGTGAATTTTTTTACTTCAAAAGTATATCAACCTGGATCTCAAAAGAATTTTATAGTGATTTCAAAATTCATAATCTTTCCTACTAAAACATTAAAAAAAAAAATATTGCAAACAAAATGTCATAAAAAACAACCTTTTAAACAACAATTTTTTATTAAAAATAGTTGTTTTGTTGTGTATGAAATTTAAGCAACTCATTTTTATTTGAAACCATTATGACCTCTGAAATCTCTATAAAACTCTGATTCTTTTGAGACCCAATTGATATACTTTTAAAGAAAAAAAATTCACTGGTATATGGGAGCCAGTGTGTAATCAAGAGTCATGGTGGGTAACCTTTTTCAAAAATTAAATAAAACCAATGACTTTAAAGTTACTTTCGAATCAGTTGCATCCCTAATGCTCATATTACCAAGGTGCTTATATTACCCTAATCTACCCATTGAAAAAGATAATAAAAATAAAAATAATGTGGTTTTTTAAAAAGTATTTAAAGTATTTCTAATTTTTATATATTCATGTACCGCTTTTTATTTTAATTAATTATATATTTATTTCATATTGTTGAAGTAATAAAACAAACGATATACTTAAGATGGCAGGTTTAAAAAGAATATAAAAATCCAAATTCTATATTTAAATTGTTTTTAATATTATGATAATCTTAAGTAA